GCGTTTGCAAGGACCCTCTCCACGCTGAGGAGTAAGCGAGGGTCCCCCTCTTTTCCCTCTGTGAGCCCCTCAGCAGCTGGGGTCCCTGGAGCTGCTCCATGCCTCAGGTTCCCACTGGAGCTGCTGTTACCAACTGGTGTATGAGATTGCTCCCATTCAGGGTGGGCTTTGAGCAGACTGAGGCCAAAGGCTCATCAGCCCCCCGAGGGCAGGGGGGCTAAGCTCCCTCCTGGCCCCGCTCAAAGCTGCTTAGGGGAATCAGATCGTGGGGATTTGTTTCCTGGAGCACCCAGCTGGAAGGGCGCTGGCCGGCCCGGCTCACCCAGTGTGTCCTCAGGGGGAGGCTGCCCGTCCCCCTGCCCCCTCTCCAGGGACCCCCATGCGGCCCTGCTGCCCCCTGAGTGATGCCCCCATGGGTAGGGGCCGCTTGCACTCAAGGGACCCCTAGGCTGAGGGGGGGGTCTTCAGGCTTGGGGCTGCCAGTGCTGTAGCCCACTGTGCCCCCTGCTCCCCACCCCCATTACTGTGATTAGGGGGCCTTTGCAGCCACCACGGCAAAGTGAATCGGACAAGGGCAGCCGGGAAGCGAGTGAATCAGCACGGCGCTGAGGGCACCCTAGGCGTCCCTGCGTTAGAAGTGGCAAAACATGCTGAGTCTGGGGCTGCTGAGCCCCAGCACCACCTCACCAGGATCATGAGGATGGGGCGAATCACAGCCATGGCACAACTGCAGCTAGGCCATGCCCCAGCTGGGCACCAGCTATCCACCTCGGACAGGGCACCCTGCGCACAGCCAGACCCCATTTCCATTTATCCCCCATCCCATTGACACATCCAAGCGCCAAGAGCGACATCTCCCACCCCCTGCATCCCAGCGCAGGGACAGCCCGTGGCTGGTGGTGGCATCACCCGGTGGCATCTCACCGTCCAGCCGCCCCCGTCCGTCGTCATGTCGCAGTAGACCTGGAAGCCGGAGGGGTAGTGCGTGGGGAAGATGGAGTAAATCCCGTCCTCTTGCTGTCCGCTCATATAGATGTCAAAGCAGTCCCGGGGCCGGGAGCCTGCGGCGGGGCATTGGGATGGGGTGGGACGAGAGGAAGGCTGGTTAATTAATGCTCTAATTTAACGTCTTGCCATTTCTTTCAGGCTCTCAACCTTGCTGCCAGCTCGGTTGGCGGCTCAGCGCTGCCTTGCTCTTTCCTTCCTCTCTCCTCAGATGCCCAAGGCGAGCGGTGCCTGGGGGGTATGCAGCCACCATGGGGACCCCCCTAGCAGCAGGCAGGGACCAACCCCACATCCCCGTGTGATGGAAAGGGCAGCCTGGGACCCAGCTGGGGAGAAGGGAGCCGATGCCTGGGGGCAGCTGCAGGCAGAGTGTGGGCATGTGCTCGCAGCCCTGGGACAACCTTGCTCAACTCCATCCTAACCAAATGATGATGGATGTGGCTGTTTACCAAGTCCCATGCAGCACTGCCCTCTGCACCCCAATGAAGGCAAACGCTTGCTTCTTGCTCTGCTTTTGCCCCAGAAACATCTGTGTGGGGAACGGATGGGTCTGCAGCGGTGCAAGGTGGCTTTTGTGCTGGATTTGCAGGTTGGTTTATGGACAACTTTGGGCCGCATGGCGAGAAAGACCGCTTCTAGGACACAACTTTTCATCTCCTGTCTGCTTCATCTCCTTGCCAGCCCCCTGCTGTACTAAATCCCTTCTCCAGGCTGGTTCTCCCTCTCTCCGGAGACTGATGGGGACCCCATCTCACCGTTGGAGCAGCCCCGGGGCCGTGCTCCCCTGGCTGGTGCTCGCTGCAGGTCGGCCTTGAGCCGTGGCCGGGCACCACCACGCTCCTTCTGCAGCGAGTCGAGGACGTCGCTGACCGAGCTCACCAGCCGAGCCATGTTGGTCTGGCTCTCTGAGAGCAGCTGTGGGGAGGGGACACGTGGAGAGGACAAGGTTAAACATGGTTAAACCCCTTCCACCCCCTAGCCCCTTGCCCACCCTGCTGTGAGGATGCTCTGCTCACTCCCATGGCTCCCCAAATGCCTGCAGGCAGCAATGCTCCCTGCCACAGTATGGGATGGTGGGGACATAAAAGCCACTACAGATCCCATGCAGCATCTCCGGTGCTTTTTGGCCTGGGGTCAGAGTCCAGATCATGCCTATTGCCACTGGGCATGAGAAATCCCCAAACGTGGGCACATTGGTGCCGCCACCCCACAGGATAAAGGGCATCTGTGGGCAAGAGGACAGGATCATGGAGGTTGCAGGAATAGCCGTGTCCTGAGACAGCCGCCGGCTCTCCGCCATCCCCCGAGGTGACCTGGGCTGGCCAAGTGACGTGGGGTGGCCATGACAGAGCTGTGGGACAGGGAGTGAAGCAAAGCAGCGGTGACCAAGCAGCTCTGGCCAGACGGGAAAGAGGACCAGGAGGGATGGGCATGGGGCTGAGCATCCAGCTGTGCTCTGGGTCCTGCTACAGTGCCCTGGCATACCCAGGTAAGCATTTCAAATTGGAAATTTTCAAATGGGAAATTTTGGGGACTGCAAATAAGGGGGTGGCAGGGGGAGGAATTGCTGCACGAATTGCATTTTGGATGGTCCTGTGCTGTGCTCAGCTCTGCTTGGAGCCCCTAAATTGGACCAAGAGCCAGGAGACCCACAACGGCGGAGGCTGCATGCCCAGCTTGCCGGGGTGGTTTGGCAGCAAGACGCAGGGGGTGGATGAGCTGGAGCTGAAATAGTGCTTCCTAAATTGCAATTCCCAGCTTAAACCTCAGCTTCTGCTGCTGGAGATGCCCTGGGGATATAGGGATGGGGGCACCACAGGCACTCCCAACTCACCTGGATGAGCCGTCCCTGCTCTCCCTGCAGGGCACTGAGCTCCTGGCCCATGGCACTGTGCCCCTTCTTGAGGCTGTCACAGTCGGTGCGCAGCTGTGTGGCGTGGGTCAGCAGCTTGGCCACCTCATCTGCCACGGTGACCAGCAGGGCCTTCTGCTGGCTCTTGGTGGCCTTGGCCTCGGCGTCATGGTCGGTGACGGCGCGCAGCAGGGAGGTCTGCAGCCCCTCCAGGCGCCCAAAGGTGCCCGCCGAGTCGGGGCAGTTGGGGTCGATGAAGATGTTGATGCGGGAGCTGTCGGCTTTCTCGATGGTGACCAGCGCGTTGGCTTCCTCGGGGTTGGTGCTGATGACGGGGGGTGACTCGGTGACAGGCGTGTGGTAGTGGTTCATGAAGAGGATGGCCCCCGTGACCGTCACCGCCAGGAGGACGGCCACCGAGAGCAGGACGGTGCACAGGATGTACCCACAGCTCATCCTCTGCGGACAGAGAGATGGACGCCATCAGGACCCATCCAGATGGACCCATCCCGCTCCCCTTCATCCAAGAGGTGGGTTCAAACCCTCAGGGCCTTTGTGGGGAGTGGTGGCAAAGGAGGGGACCACAGGGAGCCCTGAGGGATGTGGAGGCCACAGGCAAGTGCTCCGTGAGCAAAGCAGCCAAACCCGCCTGGGAGCCGGGGCTATGAAATAATAAAGAGAGCGAAGGCACGGCAGCCGTGTGCTCCCGCTGGCATTTTATTTAATGCGGTGATATTCGGCTGGAGCAGCCCTGGCTCCCCGGGAGCTGCATGCAGGGCTCCCTGCTGCCCTAGGTGCAAATCCGGGGACAAAATGGGAGAACATTCCCGTTGTCCCCCAGAGCAGGGACTGTGGGGAAAGTGAGGAGGGGAGGGGCCCTCGGACCTGTCCTGGCGAGGGGGGGGTCTCTGTGGGAAGAGTCTCTGACCGCCCCAAACCACTCTGGCAGCTCCACGGCTGCAGGGACCCATGGGCTCGGCCTGCGGGAGCCGCTCTGCACGCACTGAGAGCCTTTACCCCTCGCAAAGCGGGAAGTACCACCGCCGTCGGCGGGGATGGAGTGAGCGGCCACCCGGCCCCGTCAGCCCCCGGCCCCCACTGCCTCCCTTCTCATTACACCTGCAGGACAGAGGCTGTGATTTTCCCGTGACCCCGGCCACGGCTGTCACAAGGAATTGCAGGGCTGCCAGAAAGCTGCAGATTCAGAGAGACAAAGACTACTTTCCCCAGAAACGAGGGGAAAATTGCTGCATCTGCAAAGATTTCCCAGGCCCTGTCCCCTCCTGTGCACATCTATCTGGAGTGACACCTTCCTTCAAGCATCCTTCATTTCATTCACGCTCCCGCAACCATTTGCATTAAGGTGACCCCCGGCTGTGGTGTGGCTGGCCAGGGAGGGGGTGGGGGGCGCT